AGCCTACATGCTGTACTGTCATGGTTCGACTCCCGCTGGGGGTGTTGAGGTCGAAACTGCAGTCCACACTGGATAATAATGCCTTTTGGGAAAGCAAGGTTATGGGCAATTTAATGGAAAAAATCAGCTCTACTCATATCGTTGTTGTAAATTTCAAATGCCAGTTCTCCATCACCCTAAACCAAATGGAGTGAACACAATTCATATATCTGATTTCCTGTTAGTCTCGAAAACCTACTCACTCACGAAGAAAGAGTAGCTATTGCAGACCAAGTTGCGAAAGCAAGGTCAACCCACTTCAAGTAATTCATTCTTGCTTACTGCGATGCACAGATTGATAGTTGGGTTTCCTATGATAAATAGCATACTGTATTTTTAGCCATTTTCGGGAATTTGTAACTGGTTGATGTCCATCATGGTGACATTTTATCACTCCGTCTACTCATGTCATAGCAGGACAATTTTCTTCTCAATCCTTAATTGGTCGTAAGTGACTTCTTATTAAAAGTTTACTGATAGTTTCCAAGCTTACTGAGAACAAATGTAATCAACATGATCTATTTTAATGGAAAATTAATATTTGCCTCATCAGCAGTCCCACACTAAATGTGACTTTTTCAGAGTATTGGTTTTCCTTCAAGTTAACATCCACCCTGTGACATTTTGGCACTAGTGGCTGTATTGCTAACTGGAAACGTTTCGCCAGGATACTAACGCTCAAGTCTCGCATCCGGCTGGGAATGCAGAGGAGACGATGTTGCGAGGCTGAGACTGCAATCAAAGAAGGAACAAAAAGCATATTTTGAGGCAAGTCTAAGCGGGATTCAATGACTTCGTGAGACCAGCTCATAGTGATTTGCGAAAATGTACACAATCCGTACTTATATTATCCTAAATGGCCCTCGAATAATTGTTTATACCTCTCAAGTGGAGTAATAACATCGCCACGATACTCACGATCCTGTATCTAATCTCGACCTAGGCGAGGCCGGGATGTGAATATCTGAAATTCAACGGTAAAGTGAAGCCTACTCATTTTATTGATGGAAATCGCCTTATACGATCTGGACTGACTAATTTCTTATTCAAGAATCACTGAAGGCCTCGCAGACTACTAATATAGAAAATTACTTCTCACGTCAGGTGCAGTGTATGAGCAAAATACACTTTAGTAGGTGCACTTTCGATCGAATTGAAGAGGTTTTATGCCGGATTCACCAAAGAGTTGTTTTGTTGATAGAAGCAACCGTTCGAAAAGATTGCGAAAATTGGTTCTACAATAAAGATAGCGTTGGTGTTGCCGGTAAGAAAAGAGGAAAAGCAGCAATCTACATGTCTCGGTCTAGTAAAAATGCCGCATTAACAAAGTCAAATGCGACCTTTAAGCTGCGTACCTAATACCATTTTACATAGATTGTGCAGACGCATTTAGAGTGATTCTGCGTTGCACTGATAGCGATTCCATTCTCGAGGGAATTAAGGAGAAGATCAGCTGTTTACAGGGAAATTGACTCCGCCATTCATTACCACCAAACCTGATTGTAGTTTCACTTGTGCCTCCGTCTGGTCAGTAGCCCCGACAAGACTCGGACCTGTCGAAACATTCTGTCTTCCAAGACAATCGGACTTCTTCATGTCTGTGCTGCAAAACTGATACCAACCGGAAAATGCTGAATGTTTTTAGGTCTTTCAGTCATGGCCGCCTCACCATATATATGGGAAAAAGCTGGGATTGTAAGAATGTCCCAAAGATTCGGTGTGACTCATTTCGAAGGACAAGTTAGCTGAAAGGGATTTGTGAATTGGCCTCCAATGGCAGACTTTGTCAGAGCGAGGTAGCGCGATAAACGTACCAATTTGCTGAATCAAGAGATAAGGTGGCCAGCCTCAAACATGTTCACTTCTTACACTTAATTTTGTGACCTTTATGAGACATCCTATGGTACGGTTGGTCACTTATTCTTACCATAGTTGTTTCCAGATAGACGAGGTTGATGCATTCCAATAAAGTGGATGTGGTCATAGCCATTTATTTATATAAATAAAACAACCTACAATCCTCTAATGGTGAACCATGTCTAGCAATATCGTAATATTCAGGTAATTTACACTTTATCTCACCTTAAGCCTATCCAACAACAACAAATATTTCCCATTCTATTTCCTACATTAGTTTCTGCTATTCAGGATGTTGGCTGTTCTGTTGATTTCAAATGATCTATTCTATATGGAGTCTCTGTTTCATGCAAAATGATGGTTTTTGACCATTTTATTACGCGTTTTGTATTAGCCAAACGCAGAGTGAGTAGTAGCTTACGAGCAGTTTTTCCTAATGATAACCTTTTTTTGATGGGTCCTAAGCATAGGAAACATAGAATGTGCACAAAGTCTTTTAGGGTCGGATCCCAAGTGAGGGTTGGAAAATTCTCGAAAAGACGGCATTACTGAAATAAGCGTTACTTTCACTTTGTGTGCTGTTCTGCTCATCCACTTCATCAATAGTTGATCTTATTTCTTCGCAAGCTCCACGGAACGACAAAATCGAGAACAAAATAAAAGGGTTGATCTGTCTATTTCGTCCAAAATCACAATCTACCCTAATTTTATTTATGATTGAATATAAATAATTATCTATCAAGCCTAGTGGATAATAGCTTTAAATTAATATATCCCATAATCTAACGATTTTCTGGTCCCAGTTATTTACCTTTGCTAGACTCAGACTCCTTAGTATCGCCGATTTCATAAGTGCCATTTAGGATATCCTCAGAGCGAGTCTCGTACCACTTATCTTGACCCATTTGCCAGCCAAGTGAAGTGCTTAATTCTAAATTGTTTCTCCGGCCGAGGGACAGGAAATTGCTACGGATTGGCTGCAGTCTGGGGCTGTGTTGCAGTCACAGTCAGGTAGAGACCAATGATGCTCGTCGGTGGTTGCCATGAGAGACCTGATGAGTTTCTGCAGCCAGAGTAACTGATGCTACGCCTAACAGACTGAATGGATCCAGTTTTCGACCTCGGTTACATCCTTTAGTTGCCTCCGTCCTCTGGCCGTAGACACTCTTCGAGTCATCGCTATCCTCTTTTCTGAGAGACAGAAGGAGGCAAGGAGGCTGGCCCAAGTGGCCAAGCGAACCAAAGTGGTAATCTCCTTATCAGGGGAGAGTGATAGCCAGGGGAGGGTGGCTTACCCCAATCCTTCCTCCACCGACCACATTATCCCATGTTGCAGATGTAAGTGGGATTTCGGATCGAACGCCCTCCACCCCCCCTCGTCCTATCCCGTAGGCCTCACGACCGGGCATCAATTGCCCGCAACAGCAATTGCGTACACTCGTCAGATCGTTTAAAGGCAACCACAAACACTTCAGCCGGCATCACGTAACCACTTGAGATGCTGATTGGGGGCTCCAGCCTAACTCATGTGATATTTGTGTTGCCCTCCATACACAAGTGGTTTAGGCCAGATGCTGGGCTACCTGTTTTGTCAGTGCCGACCACAGGCACAACAGAGCAGTAATTACACCCTGCTTACTTCCCTTCCCTCCCATACTACAAGCCACTGGTAGCCTTTGGGCTTGGGCCACGACCTCAAGGCTAATTGGCCCACGAAAATTCATAAAAACAGGTCTCCCAAGTTCTATAAGGGAATGCTACAACTTATCGACTGCTAGCAGAAGACCCAACAGTTAAAATCAAAGGGACACTGCATGAAATGCTGACGGAAATGAATATGAACGGGTAAATTGACAAATGGACAATGAACTCACTCATACGGAAGGATGAAAGAGACCCTGTAGCATACGGTTTGCCGAAGATACACAAAGAAAGAGAACCATTGAGACTGATAGTCAACAACAAGCATGGACCGACGCATAAATTCGCGAAATTTTACTGCCTCAAATTAAAGAAAGTGAATGACAGATTATTGAATACAGTGAAGAACTCGTACGAATTTTGCGAAGAATCAAAGGCACAAGGTTGGAAGGAAACGAACTTTTGGCGAGCTTTGATGCACAGTCCGTGTACACCAACATGACAGGATAAAAGCGCTCACCGAGATCTTGGAAAAAGAAGATGGCATTCTGGAGACGAAGCGAATCCGTAAAGAGTGCCTGACCCGATTAATCAACCTAACAATAAGAACGACCTATTTCACGTTCAACTGCCGCATCTATGAGCAAATATTTAATCTGCCTATATGCTCACCTCTCTCACCTCTGTTGGCTAATGTCTACATGGACTAGTTGGAGGAGAATTTCAAAGTGTCACTCCAACAACAAACAGTAATTATTCGGTATTTGGATGACTACTTCGCAATTTGGTCGCATGGAGAAGAAAAATTAGGCGATTTCCTGATATTTATTAACGAAATGGATGAAAAAGTCAGATTTATCATGGATGTGGAAGAGAACGGACACTTACTGTTCTTGGATGTAGAGGTCATTCGCTTCGAGAAAACTCTCAAGAACAAACTTTTCTTAAATATATATCGCATGTTGGCATAATTCTTAACTTCTATTCGAACCATACTTATGGGATGAAGATTGGAATACTGCTGAGTATGCTCATAAGAAGCTTACGACTCACTGAGTCTAAGTTCGGGGAAGAGGAACTGGGAAAACTAACCCAGATGCGTCTTGGAAAAGGATATCGAGAAGGAGCAATGCAACGCAGCATACGGATGGTGGAGAATATAAAAGGAAAGCAAGAGGAGCAGAGCAAAAACGATGAATATGTCTACCTTCCTGCGAATTGGCTCGGAAGCCGCGGCCGATATTATGGAAATGGAATATTCTTACAATCCTGAAGGAAAGAACAACCCTCTCCACCAACTTGTCACACAACATGAAGAAGTCAACAAAATGGAGTGCTCCAGATGTTAGAGCACAAACTGTAAGGACTGTGGACAAAAATGCATCGAAGAGACTGGAATGACACTCAGCAAAAGAAGCAGAGACCATCAGAGACTATGAAAAAAAATGGATAAGGAAATATCGAAGATAGCTGAACACATCGCCACTACCGGCCACACAATTGAATGGAGTGCTACGGAAAGACTGGGCTCATGTAAGGAGAAGATCAGCAAACGGAAGATCAGGAAGGCTATGGACATCCTCTTTCAAAGAAACCCGGTGAACAGAACATTGGAAGAGGAAAATGTCAACGATAATTCTGCGTACTGCCTGAACAGACTTGTAGATTCAGCGAGGTTATCATATAGAAGATGCTGTTCAGCAACGAAAAGAGACACCGCCAAGGAGCAGCTCATGAGGGACAAAGAGAAGTCAAGAAAATGCGATTGCAGTGAGAGGAGTTAAACGTATAATTGGCCAAAAAAATTCGGCCAAGGAGCTCAGGCTAGATATGAAATTAAAGGCTAAAGGTATAGGTAGACCAGATATAACCCACCAGTCTGTGTGTGTGCGTGGCTGTTGTGTGTATTTTTCGTATCTGTCACTAGGGCAGGTGACTAGTGACATGCTTGACCAGGGGGGATACCAGCCAACACACACACAGGAACACCATCCCAGTGCCTTAGGATTAGATGGAAATGCCAACTTGAGAGATAAGAGGATTGTAGGTATAAAGACCAAGATGGTGTGGCCTTTTGTGTGGTCGCAGTCTCCTTTCATTGAATAGAAGTTGTTT